CCGCTCGCTACCTGGAAACCTTCACCTCAAGGCATGATTTTGAATGCTATTCAAATACAAATATTAAACATAATCACATAAAGGAAATCCAGCACCAGATTCAGCAAAATAATCCTCAAGTCCCCTGGGAAGATTTTATAATCTATACAAGGTCTAGAACATTGTTTTCTTTTTAAAATATTTGCTGGTGCTCAGAGAGGACATGAAGGTGACCAGCGACACCCATTTGGCTGCTGTGCCAGCCTGGTAGGGAGCCACATCTCATATCCTTAGACAAAATAAAGACAAATCAACCATAACTATTGTTCCTTGTATTATATTTCTTCACAAGCTCTCTATTTTTATTGCCGTGTCCTCATTTTTCTTCCCTTCTTTTTTTCATATTTACTTGTTTATTTAACATATTCTCCTTACGAAGCACCTTTCACATATGTTATCTCATTTTATTCTCATGGGAAACAAGTATTATTACCTTGGCTTTTAAAAGTTCAAAGAAAACTGAGGCGTAAAGCACTAATTGACCTGTTAAAGATTCCAAAGTAGAGAAAAGAGAACTTTCATTTTTCTGATTGCACACCACCATCTCTCAGTGGACATGAGATTTTTTTTCTGTTGACCATTTCGTTCCTTTCTCTTCTGTTCTTTATTCCTTAATGCTGTACTGCTGTGTGCTTATTCTCAACGAATAGTGTCAGCTGACATCCTCCAACGGGGAACCCATCCCAGGGCACGTGCCAAATCTCAGAGGAGGTGCCTCACCTCTGTGCTCTCATAACACTTCGCGTTTCCCTGTCTCTCACAGGGATTCAAGATTCACCGCTCCTTGAAAACAAGAGATTATGTCTCACTTATTCAATATTGTGATGCCCGCAATGTGCCAGAAATCCAATAGTGCTTCCTGCTCTGAAAACTAAAAACCCACCCCCAAAGAGAGTTTAGATGAGCACACAGAAGAGGCAGCTCCTCTGGGACTCAGCATGAGCACCAGGAAATGTTCCTCGTTGGTGGACATCGGAGTTGACACTAGAGGATAAATAAGAATTACTGAGTTGGTGGAAAAAATAATAAAGAATTATCCAGTTGAAGAGTAAAGGGCCTGGGAGAACTAAACCAGGTAACAGGAGAAGAAAAGAATGAAAAATAACCGTGTAGGAAAAACACAAATACTAAGCATTTAAGGAAGGAGGCTCCCTGCCTGTTCAGAACCACTCACTTATCTAACGAGGTAGCAGTTTCTAAACCTCACCAATTGCAAATCATCTGATGATAGAAATGTGTTGCAAAGGGGCGCCTGGGTGGCTCAGTCGTTAAGCGTCTGCCTTTGGCTCAGGTCATGATCTCAGGGTCCTGGGATCAAGTCCCGCACTGGCTCCTTGCTCAATGGAGAGCCTGCTTCTCACTCTCCCACTCCCCTAGCTTGTGTTCCCTCTCTCACTGTGTCTCTCTCTGTCAAATAAATAAACAAAATCTTAAAAAAAAAAAAAAAAAAAAGAAATATGTTGCAAGGCATAAATGAAGAGGGCTCTAAAGACAATTCTTTCCATGATTTGACAATGGGAAAATTCAGATGGTCCTGAATCTCTTTATAAAGCTACTGGAGAAGGAATACTCTCTCTCCATCCAGTGCTACCATCCCTTCTACCCTAACCTGCCTTGAAAATGGCCTGATCAACACATGAATCTCCCTGCTTTCCAGTGTTATATGATAATAGTACTGCTGGAAATATCACAGATCCTTTCTTATATCATGAAGGTAAAGAAAAGCTGGCTGTAATAGGATTTTCCTACCAGCAATCTCTATCTGAAACCTGTTTTACTATTATAATACATCATTTTAATACAAAATATTTCATGCCAAGAGATAGAAATAGAAAATAGCAAACATCCATGCACCCACCATTCAGTTTTATGAAATCATAACATTTTGTTATATTTAACTTCATTTCTTTTTAATTTTCATAAAACACTATGAACACGCTGGGAAGCCTGATTGGCACCTCCTCCCTAATAATATTATCTTCCTCCTGGAAAAAGACACTAGCAGGAAGTTGATGTGCTCCTTTTAAAAATACAGGAATAGAAAGAATATATAGGATTATTTAGTGGTTTCTTAAATATTATATTAGCAATGCATTAATACAGAAGTTGAGATGCTCTAATAAGCTTTGCTAAAACAAGGTGGCAGAGGCTTAATGAATTAGAACAAGAACCTTTGTAAATACAGTTTGAATTCACACATAAATAGGAAATCTGGAGGTACAAAAAAATAGACATAAATAAAGAGTAGTAGGTGAGTACCTAAGTTCCAGCTGGGGGAATGATAACTGCGAGGCCTACGTAAGGCCAACACTGTGTATTTCATCCTATTTTTCTGTATCTTTGTCAACACTTATAAATGTTAGGTATATAGGCTTTTTACATATGAAATATGATAATTGATAACTCATGGTGGTTTTCATTTTCTTTTCCCTTGTTACTAATAAGGGTGAACATTTTTTCTTATGTTCATTAGTCATTCTAGCTACACCATTTGTCATCTTCACCAAATGTTCACCCATTTCTCTCTTAGGTTGTTCACTTGTTTATTTGGAGGTGTTCTTTATATATGCTGAATGCTTCTTTGACATACCACTATATTCCTATTAGAATGTCTAAAATTAAAATGATTGACCACGGGCCCCGGGTGACTCACTCATTTATGTGTCTAACTCTTGATTTTGGCTCAGGTCATGAACTCAGAGTCATGAGATCAAGCCCTGCCTCAGGGTCCACGCTGGGCATGGAGCCTACTTAAGTTCTCTCTCCCTCTTCCTCTGCCCCTCCTCACCTCTCTCTCTCTCTCAAAAACTAAATAAAAATAAAATAAAATGATTGAACTTAACAAATGTTGAAGATGTAGAGCAACTGCAATTTTCATACACTATTGGAAGGAATATAAAATGGTACAACCGCATCAGAAAATAGTTAAGTGGTTTCTTAGAAAGTTAAAATACAACTACCATATGGTGTAGCCATTCCACTCCTAGGTATTCACCAAAGAAAAATAAAAGCATGTGTCCTTACAAGGATTTGTGCATGAATGTGCATAGCTTTACTTATAATAGCAAAATGCTAGAAATGATCCATATGTCTACCAATGAGTAGATGAATAAACAAACATGAATGGGTAGATGAATAAACAAACTATGGAATGGAATACCACTGAGCAATAAAAAGAAACTACCTACTGATATACACTACAACATGGATGGATCTTAAAATAATTATAGTAAGCGAAACAAGCCAAGCCCCTCCCCCCAAAATAGGGTACATATCATAGGATTCCATTTATGAAAATCTAGAAGGTGTGAACTAATCAATAGTGACAGAAAGTAGATCACTGATGGCCTGGGATAAAGAGATGTAAAGAAGAACAGAAAGGAGAGAGTTCACCAAGGAACAGGAAGAAAATATTGTGGGTGATAGACCTGGTCATTATCTTGATTCTGCTGGTCGTTTCAGAGGTGCATAGATAGGTCAAAACTCATAAAAGTGTGTACGTGTGTTCAGTTTACTGAATGTCAACTTAGCACCTTGTACATTTTAAATATGTATAGCTTATTTTGTATCAATTATAACTCAGTAAAGCTGTTCCTTAAAAAATTTCGTAAGAATAAAAAGAGACTAAAAGAGAATCCTAACCATGCTAGGCTTCTGTCTTCTTTTTTTTTTTTTTTAAAGATTTTATTTATTTATTTGACAGAGAGAGATCACAAGTAGGCAGAGAGGCAGGCAGAGAGAGAGAGAGGGAAGCAGGCTCCCTGCTTTGCAGAGAGCCCGATGCGGGACTCAATCCCAGGACCCTGAGATCACGAACCGAGCCAAAGGCAGCAGCTTAACCCACTGAGCCACCCAGGCACCCCTTCTGTCTTCTAAACATTTTTAAAAATACAGGTCATGACTGGAGATGCCAGGATGGTTCAGTCGGTTAAGTGTCTGCCTTTAGAACAGATCATGATCCCAAGGGTTCTGGGATCAAGCCTGACATTTCCTGCCCAGCGGAAAGACTGCTTCTCCCTCTCCCTGCCACCTCCCCTGATTGTGTTCTCTCTCTCTCTCTCGCTATCTCTCTCTCTGTCAAATAAATAAATCTTCAAAAAAATAAAATAAGTTAAAAAATAAAATATAGGTCATGATTTTTTTTTTAAAGATTTTATTTATTTATTTGACAGAGACAGAGAGAGAGCACAAGCAGTGAGGAGGAGCAGAGGGAGAGGGGGAAGCAAGCTTCCTGAGGATCAGGGAGCCTGATGCGGGGCTCAATCCCAGGACTCCAGGATCATGACTTGAGCTGAAGGCAGAGGCTTAACCCACTGAGCCACCCAAGTGCCCAGAGGTCATGATTTTTTAAAAAATCCCCTAGCCTTCTCTTTACATCTTTCTAAAAATAAGCAAAATACTGTCTCAAGTAAATTAGAAATAGTGAAGGGGGTAGGAGGCATTACAGACAAAAACATCATCCTGGAGATATAAGAGAGAGTAAATGACTAAAGTGAGAATCCAGGTCTTAAAAAGATTGTTCTTCCTCCAGGAAATTCTCTGTTAATTCGTTTGATATTGATAGCAGTAATCAGTATGCCAACATGCAAAAGTTTCCACTGGGCCAACTCACATGGGTGAGAATCTTGCCCTATCCATTCAAGTCTGACCTAATGATAACATAGTAATAAAATAATACTAATCAGTCTGTAGACTTTCTCTCCACTGATCTTAATCCATTATCATTCTTATCAAAGGTTGTAATCATTTTTCTTTCTCAAGCTAATTCCATTTTCATGTTCTCCTGCTCCTCAAGTGAAATGAACCAGCAAATCTGTAAGTTCTACCTCACGGACCAAAACCACTAAGTCACAACGTGGACCAAAAAAATCTAGGCACACCTAGCTTTAATGATTTCAGAAAGATGTTATTTGTTAAATATTTAAGCCCCCAAAGAAAGGTAAAGGCATTTGAGTACCTACCGTCTCCAAAAATATGTGATACAAGCCTAGTAAGTGTTTGCTTAAGGTCAAACTCAACGAGCTTCATGGCTTCCATGGTGTGTGTCTCTTGTTTACAGGCAGAGCGAGAACTCTGTTCAAAGAGCTGTAGACTTTCTCCATCCTTTATGCCAGCAAATAACTGTAAACCAAGAGGAATAATATGCATAAATAAAAATAGTATCCTGGCCAGCCTACATGAAAAAACATGGTATGGGAATAAATTCCATTAAGACTTCTAGTCAATGAATATACTGAAAATCACATTCATTTAGTCTGTACTAGCACTGTGCTACATGTAATGGAGAGTCCTTAGAGCATTAAAAAACACCGTTCTGATCTTTTCTCATCTCTTTTTACTTTGGCTTAACTTACAGGCACTTCCTCAAAAGAGACATTGGCCTCAATGCTAGTGCAAATACCAGTGAATCAAGCTTTCAGACTCTAAAATTATATTCCTGACCATCCTACAGAGTCCTATAGTGTGACCTGAGATACGTAAGAAGGTATAATAAGAATTATATTCTGTAAAGTCCATGAAGGCAGGAAGCACTCTGGACTTTGCTTATCCTTGTTATTTCCAAAGCCCAGGATAGGACTCAAGACAGATTTTTGCCATTTACTATCTGGATGAACACAGACCAAGTGTTATGTTAGGTAAGTTTCCGGTAACAATTTATAAAATAGAATATATATATTCTATTAATTTATTTCTATTAATTTTAATTAAATTAATTTATTAATAAATTGATTATAATAATATTTATTTTATATATTATATAATAAAATATAATGTTTATAATAAAATTAATTAAACTGATTTAATTAATTTAATTCTACTAATTTATTAATATAAATTAAGAAACTTGTGATAATTAAATATGAAAAGCATAGCACATTGCACTAAATAAATTTTTATTATCACCACAATCATCATTATTAATCCCATCTGTTATTAGTCATAAGCTATTTACCACTAAAATAAAGTGTCCCCATCTTTAACAACAAAGTAGATCTTCACCTGCTAGGAGAGGACTCAAGATGAAGAAGTGAGCCAATGAATCTATCATTCTTCCCACCGAATGTCCCATGAAATAATTTTTTTAATGTTTTAATAAAGAAAATGAGTCAGTGGCTGTTTCTAGTAATGTTGGGCTAAATAATTAGAACAAAATGACCTCATAAATCTAAAATATACAAAAATTCTTAAAAGCATAGAAGTAACACAATAGAGAGGAATTACTTAAAAGTGTAAAACCATGCACAAAACCAGAAAGAAAAAGAAAAAAAAAAGCCCAGCATAAGCCAGAGAGAAACACTAAGAATATTTACATATCCAATGTATCAACTGAAAAGCTGAACACTGGTTGTGACAGTTTACCATGGCAAGTGAGGCTTAAGAAAGTCCACAGTGTCTGACCAAATAGGGTTATCAAATAAACATCCCCATCCCTAAAGGACTTACTCCATGATAAGGATGAATACAATATTCTTGTATAGACTTACAGTTAGGGGTCACATTACCTGGGCAAGAGAGAGAATCTCAGACTGTGAAAATGGACTAAGGCAATCACAAACTGGTAGTTCCTCTAAGTGCCCAGCAAAATCAAACCAAAATCTTCTCAGAAAAAGATTCTACCATCCTAGAACTCAAATTAGCCCTTTGAGAACTGAAGACAATGCAGCTGCCAAAGTCTATGTCTTTCAACACCTATTCTAAAAGTAACTAAGAACAAAAAGAGCAAATAAAATTAATACCATGCCCTCATCATGGCACAGACAATGCCCACATTTTAAAATGACTGCACATAAAAAACAAGGAAGGAAGGAAGATAGGAAGGGAGGGAGGAAGTGAATGAATCAGGCAAGCTAAATAAATCCCAGAGAAAAGGAACTATTATATTCCCATCCCACTTTTTACCTCTGAGGTAAGCAAGGGCAAGCTAAGAAAAATTGAAGGAAAGAGAGGAAAAGGGGAACTAGTGAAGTATTAAAGTTGATCTAAAATCACCACCAGAAAGAGTAAGTGACTGTAAGTGTGAAAATCCTACAAGTATTCTAGGAGATGTGACTAGGGACCATAAGGCAGGGACAGCGTGACAAATTAAAAGTGACAGTCAGTCCTCAAAAGGCATCCTTACAATGGAAGAGAAAAAGATGAAAATAATGAAAGACATGTCTTGGCAACTGGGTGGGGCGGAGTAAAGAAGCAAAAGGGAAAACCTGGGGCTCCATAAAATAAAGCAACCTAAAAACTTAGAGGATTTAAAAAATCATCCCTTCCCCACCTCACCAAAAACATCCCCCCAAAAAACAAAAAATTCCACTGAAGACTCTGCACTTTGCTGCACTAACAGAAGAGGGCACCAGACAACTACAAATTCTTCTGAACAACCAGAAACCCACAATAAGTAACAGAGAAAATGCAACAAAGCCATAGAGTTATTACTGCCCCCCCTCCCAAAATCAGAATGCCATTCGATATAGCTCAACTGATGAAAATCTAAGCCTTTTCCCCCTTTTCTTCAAAAACAAAGTCAAGAAGCAAGAGCAGAAAAAGGTAACATACTTCAAAACTAAATTAAATACACTAAAACAAGCATTTGATGGTATAAAGAACTGCTTGAGTCAGAAACTCAAAAATTAATAACAAAATGTATGGAAAATAGGAAGAAATGAAAAGAGAATTGATTGAACTCAAGAAGGAAAGAGAAGAAAATTATCTCAGAATGGAAGTCTAAGCTAAAAAGTACACAGGAAAGAACAGCCTCAGTGAAGACTTAATCTGGGCATTAAAGAAAAGCAGAAAGACAACCAAGAAAAGAACAATGAAGTGAAGAAAGAAGAGTCAGAGAGAAAGTGGTAGAAATGGAAGCCATGCAAAGAAGGAATAACATGTGTATAACTGGAAGTCCCTGAAAGAGGAGAAACAGAACACAAGACCAGAACTATTGTGTACCAGATAAAACAAGTACTTGAGGAAATGTACCTGGGAGGACAAAACACAAGATATATCCTGGTAAAACTATCAGATCTCAAAGATGAAGAGAAAAAAAAATCCCCTAGGCCTCCAGGCAAAATGATCAAATAACTTAGAAGGGCAAAGAAACTAGACTAGCATCAGATTCTTCAAAACACCATACAAAACAGGGCAACAATGAAGCCACATTTGCAAACAACTCAATAATAACAAATTTTTTTAAAAAAAGAAAGGTAAAGTTATGAACCAAGAATTTTATACCCAGCAACACTGGCTTTTGCCCATCAGGTCTATTGAAAAACTGTAAACACACAAGAACATGGTAATCTCATAGTTATGAGGCTTTTTTTGAAGAACTCACCAAAGCATAAACTTTATTCAAGCAAAAGATAACTGGGAAATATTCAACAAAAAAAAAATCCACCACATTAATGATGAATTACACATTAATGCACAAAATTATAGACTTGAGACTAAAACAAAGCAGAAATAATGGAAGAAGGCGGGGAGGGCACCAAGTGGTGGCAAGTGGAATATACCCATTGGTTACTGTATACATGATAGGTAGTAGTTAAAGACCACCTTTCAAACTAACTAGTAAGTTAAGTAAGAAAATAGTGAAATGAGAGCATTTAAAAAAAGATGTAAATATAAAAGTTATCATTAAAACAAAAATATGAACCTTTCTGAAAGGTAAAAAAATTAATTCAAAAGCAAAAAACAAAATAAAACAAAATATATCTGGTGGAGAAAAAAATAAGCTGAATATAAAATAATACATTACACAATATTTTTTAAAAGATTTATTTATTTGACAGAGACACAGCAAGAGGGAACACAAGCAGGGGGAGTGGGAGAGGGAGAAAAAGGCTTCGCACTGAGCAGGAAGCCCAACTCGGGGCTCCATCCCAGGACCTTGGGATCACGTCCTGAGCCAAAGGCAGACACGCTCAATGACTGAGCCACCTAGGTGCCCCGAGTCTTGTTTTCTTCTATCCATTTAGCCATTCTACATCTTTTGTTTGAAAGTTTTACATTTACATTTAAAATAATCCTTGATAGGTATGGACTTATTACCACTTTGTTAGTGGTTCTGTAATTCCTTTGTTCCTTTCTTTTACTCTTGCTCTCTTCCTTTGTGATTAGATTATTTTCTCTAGTGGTATATTTAGAATCCTTTCTCTTTATCTTTTGTATATCTACTGCAGGTTTTTGTTGTGTGGTTACCCAGAGGCTTACATAAAATGTAGGAGGGTTGTAACAATTTTATTTTAAGCTGATAACAACTTAAAAATATGAACACATTCTAAAGTTCTACATTTTTACTCTCCCCATTTATGTTTCTAATGTCATAATTTACATCTTTTTATCTTATGTATCCATTAACAAATTACTGTAGCTATAGGTATTTACACTTTTTTATAAAACCACACTTTTTCTTTTTTTTTTTTAAGGTTTTATTTACTTGACAGAGAGAGATCACAAGCAGGCAGAGAGGCAAACAGAGAGAGAGAGGAGGAAGCAGGCTCCCCGCCGAGCAGAGAGCCCAATGCGGGACTCGATCCTAGAACCCCGAGATCATGACCTGAGTGGAAGGCAGAGGCTTAACCCACTGAACTACCCAGGCGCCCCACTACTTTTGTCTTTTAACCTTCATACTAGACTTATAAGTGATGAGCCCACCAACACTACAATATTATATTATTCTGAAATTAACTACATAATTAACTTTAACAGAGAGATTTTTTTTTTAATGTTTCCCTGTTACTAATTAGCACCTTTTTATTTCGGCTTGAGGAAGTCCCTTTAACATTTATTTTAAAGCCAGTTTAGATGGCTTTAGCTTTTTCTTACCTTTTCTTTAATTCTGAAGGACAGCTTCTTTTTGCTCCTCCAACATGATGAGTTCCACTGCCCTGTGTTTAAGTTCACTAAAGTTCACTAATCCTTTCTTCTGCTTCATCTAGTCTGCTGTTGACCCCTCTGTTGAACTTTTGTGTGCAGTTACTATATTCTTCAGTTTTGTGACTTCTGTTCAATACTTTCCTATATTTTCTTTTTGTTGAAATTCTCACTTCATTTATGCATTGTTCTCCTAACTTTGTGAGCATCTTTATGACCATTACTTTGAACTCGTTCTCAGGTAAATTGTTTATCTCTTA